TATACCTAATCAATCTAGGTGCTGAACTTCTCCCTATGTTTGGGTTACAGTCAGAACTTTTTGATTGACAAAATTAGGTTCAAGTGTATTGCTAACAAAACACAAAATGCACAGGACTGCAAATTCTCCCTTTTTCCTAAAATGAACAGCGAAATAACTCTCCTGTCCTGGGTTACCAAGACAGAACTCTAATCATTTTTCTTTAAATGGTCGGGGCTGGAGAGATGGCTCAGCGGTTAAGAGCACTGACTGCTCTTCCAGAGGTCCTGAGTTCAATTCCCAGCAACCACATGGTGGCTCACAACCATCCGTAATGAGATTGGATGCCCTCTTCTGGTATGTCTGAAGACAGCTACAGTGTACTCATCAATAAAATAAATATTTTTTAAAAAATCTTTAAATGGTCAGTTCCTGCTCCAAACTGTACTTGTACTCTATAGAATAAGACCAAGACAAACATACTTTGAAAATGTTCCACAAAAGATTCTGACACACAGTTAAAGCACAGAATTAACTGTTAGGCAATCACCCAGAATAAAATTGGAAACTTCTCAGTGTGGCATGGCAGGTCTATACTCTCATGTACTTAGGAGGATGAGGTCAATAGCTTCATAGGGGACTAGTCTGAAAACACCAAACAACCAAAAGTCATTTGCTGAATATACATATATATGTACCTATGATGGGTACAGGACTTAGCATAGGTATGCTTGAAAAATAAATTTTAATCATTTCTCAGCCTTTTGGCAAAGATCAAGTATAATTTCAGGGAAATATCTCATTTTTACAATAATACTTTCCCACATTTTCCCCTAAAAATATACTAGTCATTTTAGCACCAATAACCTGTCAGAAAATTTCAGTCATTTTTCTACATAAGAAAATTCAGAGCCAGATGATGTACCAGCAAATATACTTGCAATCCCAGCACTTGGAAGGTGGGAGCCGAAGAATCAGTTTAAAGTCATACACTATACAGCCAGTTTGTATCCAGCCTAAGTTTGTGAGCTCCTGTCTCAAAACACAGAAACATAAATAATATAAAAGAACTTTAAAGATCACTAAAATTCCATTTTCTAAAATTCACTAAAGATATTTGAGGATTCTTATGTCTCATTGAGAATAATTATAGAGATAGAGATGTAACTTGGTGGTAGCATTTAACTGCCCTAGTGTTCATGAGACCCTAAGGAAACAGGGCACATAAACCCAACATCTGTTGTGGCTATTTTCATTTCATAATTATCAACCAACACTACCAAAATGGTAAAAAAAAAAAAGGGGGGGGGGCTGGAGAGATGGCTCAATGGTTAAGAGCACTGACTGCTCTTCCAAAGGTCCTGAGTTCAATTCCTAGCATCCACATGGTGGCTCACAACCATCTGTAATGGGATCTGATGCCCTCTTCTGGTATGTCTGAAGACAGCAACAATGTACTCATGCGTGAAATAAAATCTTAAAAAAAGAAAAAAAATGCTAAAAGGAAGCATTAGTCTTAAATTTTTTTATTGAAAGTAAAATTTTTAATTAAATGAAATTCAGAGTTCTCAAACTGAAATTACAATTTCACTATATGTTGAAATAATATGAATTCCCAGGAAATAAATATCTTTTCATTTCAGGAATGTAAAAGTTGTCTAGTATTATTTTAGTCATAAAGTCACTAACTAATAACCTATTACTCTGAACATGTTAGTAGAGGTATGAAGACACCTATTTGTTCTACTTTCCATGGCCAATCAAACTATTTTTCAGTTGTCAATTTTGATACTCTTAAAAGCAAAACTAATCTAAAGCTACTCTGTTATAGTCAACTAACTAAAGGTTCTAAATTTCTTCTAAAATTGTAGTCAGTATCATTTCACTAATATGGCACCTAAGCTAAAGTACCACTAAGTATGGCAGGCCCTCCACTGGTATAATAATAATAAAATAATACTACCACCTATATAATGTAATAAATAAGAATGTTCAAATGCTTAACAGAGTAATTAATACTAAATAAGTGCTACTTATGCTGAAAATGGAAAGCAGTTAGAAAAAATCTATCTTATTTATCTATAAAAGTTATATAATAATATGCAACAATAGCCACAGTTTTAACTCTGATACAGTATTAGAATCATACCCAGTACTCTTAAAATACAGCTTTTATTAAGTCCCATATCAGATAAACAAGAAAACCACTCCCAAGTGATTCTAATATCCAGAATTGAGTATGAATGTAGTAAATCCTTCCCAAACACTGTTAGAACATGTAAAAACACAAGACAGCAACCAAGAACATGGTTCTCAAAGATGCAGATCCTAAAACAATGAAATGGAAACTAGACTTGTTTCTTAATTTTTGAGAACCATTTCGAGATTCAGAAAACTTATCAGCAAGAAAAAAATATAATATGCAAACAAAATAACAGTTAAACAACCACAGACTATACTTCACAGGGGATCAAAGTCAAAGACTAATCTATATACACACACACACATATATATATACACACATACACAAACACACATGCCCGTGCGCGCGTGTGTTAAGTGTGTATATGTGTCTGTTAATTTTAAATTAGTGGTTGAGTGTGTTTCTGTCACTCACAGAGGGGTGTCAGATCCCCTGGAGCTGGAGTTACAGTTTGTGGGCTGCGTGATGTGGGTGCTAGGAATCCAACTTGGATTCTCTGCAAGAACACTATGTACTCACAACTACTAAGCCATTTCTCTAGCCCCAGACACCCCTGTATATTTCAAGTAATTTCCTCTCACCTGCTTTAAACAAAGATTGGTTCCAATGATAAAATTCTAGAAATATTAAAAACTTTAAAAAATTGATCCATTAAATAGGAAAAAAAATAAACGAATAGGTTTTCGTGTGTCCAACTAATCAATAACTAAATGACTGGCATATGAGAAGCTTCCATAAGTAGCTTTATTAATATTATGTCAAAAAATAATTTGAAGAGACACCACTAAATCGCTCTTCTAGAGATTATCAGAAAATGTATTTCAAGATGCTAGAAGACAAAAGAACCAAAGTAAATCCTACTGGATGAAGCATTCCACTGATAGGCAGAAAATGAAGGGATCCCCATGAAATGCGCCATAATTTAAGGATAAAATCTGTTTTTCAAAATTACTTTCAGGAAAAAAAAAAACCCTAAGATTCTTGTCCATGGTGTTCTGGTCCTTAATGCTTCCAGATAGTTCCTTAGATTCTACCAAGGTCAGCAAACTAAAGGAAGAAACAGCAGAACATTAAGGTAACAGCGTATTTTTGTTGGGGGAGGGGTAAGAAAATGCATGAAGGCATTCATTCATATAGCTTAAAAGACAAGAGTTTTTAGTAAGAGAAAGCAAAACATATTTTTTCTTTCTATTTTCACACTTGAAACATTAAATTTCAAATACTTCCGGCTTTCATTCTACCCAAACACTGCAACAATAAAGTATGAATGGTTAGAGTTGCAAGTATGACAAAGCAAGTAAGTTTAAACATTGCAAAAACAAATGTTACTATCTCTGTATATTTAATATCTAAATCTTCTAAGAATTGGAAGGCATTTTGCTGAAGCCAAAATGGCAGCCTGGTAATTCAGTAGACTAGAACAATCTAAAGAGTTTGTAGTCTCTATTTTTAATTAAGTTCAAGTGTACGACCTAATCATGGTTAACCAATCCTTATAATAAAGGAAGCTAATGAACTCCTTTATTACCGGCTGCAGAGTTCCCACGTAAGTACACCCAAAATAATTCTTCATAAGTCAAATTATACAAAGAGAGATAGAAGGGTGGTGGGTTTTAAGGTTAAAAAAATTACTTGAATGCCTCTCCTTCTAACAGAAACAAGAAAATATCACCAAAACCCACAATTCCTTCATTTACAATCAACGACCCTCTGCGGCAAGTACACACACCTGTAAACTGTGGCTGTGAAAATTCAATTAACGGTGTAACTAGAGAACTTCCAAAATAATAATTTAAGTACGTCATATCTAAAAATCTTATCATTCCAGTCTCTGGAGAAACCCAAACAGAAACAAAACCCCAGCTTCGCACCTGTTTAACTTAAATATTTCACAATGAATGAAAAACAAGCCATTCATCAAGCCTCAAGCCTCACATCACAAGCATCTGAAGGTTTTATTAGTCACAAGCTTGCACATACTAGTATTTTCTTTCTTCGTCTTCTTTTTTCTTGTTCTTCAGGAACAGCTAAAAATACAGAGGTGGTAGGTCTAACTCTCGCTTGGAAGCGATTTCGGCATCAAAACATCCTTCCGGGCCTTTGGCCGTGAGTAGACGAAGCGGGGCGAGGGAGGTGTAGGGGAGCGATAACCAGCTCAGACTTCCCAGGGCACAGGGCCACCGAGCGACTGCAGGTTATCGCGGGAGGGCGTTGAGGAGGCAAACTAGTCCGCAGGCCAGATAGCCAGGCGTCGCCGAGGCCTAGCTCTCCCGCTCCAAATCACTCCACCTCAGTAATGGCGTTTGGTGTCAAGTGGAACAGGCTGAGGGCGTCCGCGGCCGGGTTAAGGGGCGCGCGAACCAACTGTCCCCGCCCCCACCCCCGGCGCGCCCGCGCGCTGTCGCGCGCTCCGAAGCGACCTCCCGCGAGGGTGGAGGGGCGGCACGCCGCGCCCGGAGTCTCCATCCTCCTCCTCTCCAGTCAGGACGGGAAGGGGGGGGAGGGGGAGGGCCAGAGCCGTCAGCCATTTTCCCTCCCAGTCCAAAACACACACGCACACACATCGACACACTCGCTCACAGACACACACACACACGCTCACGGGACCCCGGCCGCGCGCACAACGGAGGCTCGCGCGCGTTCGCGACGGCCCGGCCCCTGGGCGACAAGGGAAGCCCCCCACACCGCCAGGCAGCGGCCCCCAAGGGAGGGACCTCTTACGCACACACACCCCCTCGCGCCGTCCTCCCCACCCCTCCAGCCAGCTGTAGGCCCGGGAAAGGCGAGTGGCCCTGGCACCGCCGAGCTAACTACTCACCAAACACAACACAGGAGTCTTCTGCGTAGCAGGACACGCGGAGGCGGGAGGCAAAATGCAAAAGCTCGGTCCGGGATGAGGCCTAACCTGGGAGCATCCCAAGCCAGGGCCTGACGAGGGACAAAAATATGAGGAGAGGTTGCGGATGCCGGGCTCGCGGCGCTCTACGCGTACCGACAAGGGGCCGGGCCCCTCACCCTGGCCGCCCTAGGACAGCGGTGGCCAAGGCCGCCTCCTCCTCCCTCTCAGCCGGCGGCGGCCCTCTTCCCCCTTCTCCCCTCAGGCTGGGGCGCTCTGTGAGCTCAGTCAAGCTCCGGGCTGTACGTTTCTCCTGCGTCACCTCCTCCTGCTCCTCCTCCTGCAGCGGCAGTTTCACCTTCCCCTAGTCGCCGCCTCTGTCCCCCCACTCCCGGCCTGCTAGCTACGCTGCGGCTCCTCTCCTCACTCCCGTCACCAATCCCAAGCCCTGGGGCGGGAGAGGCAGCCGCCTCCCTTGAGGGAGAGGCGGCGGCGGCCGGCTCCCGCGAGGCCTGGGAGCGGGTGCAAGGCAGGGAGGGGGTTCGCTGAGACAGGGAGGAGGGCCCGAATGGGCCGTTTACCGAGAGGTTGCGGCTCCGCCACCGGCGGAGTCTAGTAGCTTCCGCAGCCTTGGGTACCACAGCCTCGTCAATATGGCGGATCCAGCAAATCAAAAAAGAAAAGACAAAAAGAAAAAGAAAGAAAACCGGCACGGCCAGTGGCGGTGTCGGCGGCGGCGGCGGCGGCGGCGGCGGCGGCAGCGGCGGCGGCAACAGCAACGGCAGCGGCAACAGCAACGGCAGCGGCAGCAGCGCAGACTCCCACCAGTCTCAGCGCCGCTTAAGACTGAGCTTCTCCGCCCCCGTCAGGGCCCTCCCCCTCTAAGCCCCGCCCCTTCCGCGCTCGGCCTGGCCCCTCCCCCTGCCCAGCCCCCCTCTAAGCCAGCTGCCCCCTCTCCCTGTCCATCTCGGGTTGGTGAGGGAACGAAAGGAAGAACGCTGTGGGCCACTAGGGGGCCCAGACAAGGCAGTGGACGCCTGGAACGCAGCGAACTGAGTGGGGGAGGGGAAGACAATGCTAGGGAAAGATTGTTCAGCCCTACTGTCGCTTCCGGACGGCCCCTCCAGGGGGTCATACGCTGGCCAGAGATTCTTACATACCCCTTAGCAAGGGGACCAGGCCGAGAGCTGACTTAGGACCCAGAACACTCCGAAGAGGAGGGTGGAGTGGGAGAAGGGAGAGATGTCGCATGCAGCCTGGGCAAAGGGATTAGTCTGTCGGGAATGGCCAGGATGTGGACAGGAGAGGGTTAAGCATGCAAGCTGCAGCCGTGTCTCCGAGTTTGTCTAGGGCTGCTTGTTTTTGTTCCATTGTGAACCGTGGCCCCACCATCGAGTGCCCGGATGGTGACGTCACCGGCCTCCCCCTTTTCCGGGATGGTTGGGGGGGGACGGAAAGACGAAATTCCTGGGTCCCAGTGCTAGGCGTTTGCACCCGCGTTGCTTGAGGGTCTTGACTGCGCACCTGATCCGTGTCCCGTGACACGAGGACAGGATAGGCCACTGAGCAGTGGTGCCAGGTCTTGAGGGTTTGGCCACCTGCACCATGCCGATAGGGGGAAGGTGCGGCTTGAACTCCAGAGCATGGGGGCCTTCCCACTCCACTTTGAGGGAGGCGCTTTAAGCAGCTCATTCACACGATCCTGCAGCATCAGTACCTAAAAGCATTTCGTCAGTCTTAAAGGCATAGTGACTGGGAAACTGAGGACATTTTGGACACAGGAATCCTTACAACAGTAAAGACAAAACGTAATTACACACCGTCATAAACACCTTAGCTACTCAGTAATACTAAATATAGCAAAATGACTTTCTCTTGGCATATCATCAGCACCACTCAGTATGAGAGCCTGGGAGGGACTTAGGAACCCATCCACTACGTCAGGGACTATTTTTTTCATATTGAGAATCCAAAGTACAGGCTGCAGAGGAAAAATTTATCAGAGCAATCTCAAACGTTGGTAGGTTTGGAACAATTCTATAATTTACCTAAAATTCACAAATGAAGAGGAAATAAATACAATTACTGATTGATCACATTTCATTTTGACTTAAAAATGCCTGTTGGCAGCAAACCTCATTTAAAATCATTATAGAATACTATTAAGTCCATTATATTTGGTATAGGACAGTTGAACTTACACTATAAACATAGTCATTTCTAATAAGGGAATGTTAAATGGAATCCCGAAGAATTTAGGTGACAACATGTTACTGATGTCATTTTTAAAAAACCATTTCTCTATGCTGCACAAGACTGTTTTCACCACAAAACTAATAGCTTACCCTAAACATATTATTTATAGTCCTTATTATAACTCTTAACACATGCAATCTTGTTTATATAATTACTTCCGTGCATGCTTTTCCTTGCTTATGGAGCCTCCAGAGAGAGCCTACTACCCATGTAACACTCTAAATTTGCTAAGTACATGGTATGGTGGGTTTTATTTAATCCTCAGAACCCTCTGAAACATATGGGTAGGTATTTCTAGGCTTGATTTTAGATGGAAAAACAAAACGGGTAAATCATTTGTTTAAGATCAACAAGATTGGTAAGAAAATGTAGGTCTTTTAGCTACATCTAAAGTGCATCCTTAACAAAAATGTCCACAGTAGCCAATTCTATTCAGCATTATACTTGAGGTTCTAGCCAGAGAAGGCAAAGAAATGAAAGATACCCAGATAAGAAAGGAACAATTAAAACTTCCTTTGCAAATAACAATCTTACATAGGGAAAACCCTAGGTAATCCATTATTTTAAAAAACTATAAAGTACATGATTTTTTACAAGACTGAGGCTAGAGGTTTGTCTACCTCCATTCATCCTCTCAAAAAAGAAGCTATCACATTAAACCCTATAAATATCATTACTATGTGTCAATTTAAAATAACAATTCAACCCTTTTCAGGGAAGCTGCAGAATGTTTTGTTTTATTTTTTAAAAAGTCTTTGTAAATCATTTATCTAATAAGAAATTCACATCAACAGTATTAACTTCAACTCAACAGCAAAACAAATAAAACCCTTCAATATAGAAATAAGCAAAAAGGTCTAGAGAGACTTCTAGGACAGTCAGGACTACGCAGAAAAACTCTGCCCAAAACACCAAAAAAAAAAAAAAAAATGCAAAGGGGCTGGTGAGATGGCTCAGTGGGTAAAGGTGCTTGCTATCAAACCTGACAACCTGAGTTTGATCCTTGGAACCCACATGGTGGAAGAAGTAAATTGGCTCCTTCAGGTTGTTCTCTGATCCCTTGTAATGCCTGTACACACACACACACACACACACACACACAATTTTAAAAATCTAAAAACTAAGCAAAGGAAACTGGGTAGAAGGTAGTTATAGTTGCCTGTAATCTCAGCACTCTGGAGGAAGAGGCAGAGGCAGGACAATGTTCAGTTTGAGTCCAGCCTAGGTTATATAGTCAAATTCTATCTCAAAAAGGAAAATTAACTTTTTTTTTTGGTTTTTCGAGACAGGGTTTCTCTGTGTAGTCCTGGCTGTCCTGGAACTCACTCTGTAGACCAGGCTGGCCTTGAACTCAGAAATCCACCTGCCTCTGCCTCCCAAGTGCTGGGATTAAAGGCGTGCGCCACCACCGCCCGGCAGAAAATTAAAATTTAAAAATGAAAATAGGCAAAGAATTTGAACACACATTAATCAAATATGTGAATGGCCAATAAATACATGAAAAAAATACCTAACAGGGCCATTCATTAGAGAAATGCAAATCAAAATCATGTGACATAACATTTGATAGTCATTAGAAAGACTTACAGAAGAAGCAAGTGAGGGAGCAAGGAGATACTGAGTGCCAAGATGCAGAGGAATTGAAATTCTATCTTGCTGGTGGAAAAGTAAAATGGTGCAGCTGCTATTGAAAGCCATAGAGCTGATCTTCAAAAACCCAAACATAACATTACTAATTCTACTCCTAGATAAAGCCTAAAGAACTGAAAGCAGGGACCCAAACAATTGCTTGTATACCAAAGTGCATAGTAACAATAGCCAAATGTGGGAACCACCCAAATGTTGAGTAGATAAGTGGATAAACAAAATGTGGGAGACATAGACAATGAATGGCCTTAAAAAGGAATGAGTCTCTGACAGACACTAGAACATACATGCACCTTGGAAACATACTGAGGAAAATAAGCAGGACGCAAAAGTTCTCATGTGGTTTTAGTTCCATGTGATACCAAGAGTAGACAAAGTAGGATAAAGGCTGCTGGAGCAGGAGGGGTAAGAAGGATGGGAGCTTCAGTTTTAGGGACAGAGGATTTTTATGGAGATGGCAAAAATAGTACAATACTGTTAATGTACTTAATGCCATAGAACAGCACACTTAAGGTAATCATAATGGTAAATTTTAGTTATGTTTTACTATGTATTTTCAAGGATGAAAGGCTAGGGGTGTACCTCAGTAATGCTTAGCACAAGTGAGGCTCTGGAGTCAATCCTCAGAGCTCTCCCACCCCCATTCAAAGAGGAAAAACTTCCAATCAAATATTGGTAATTTCCTATAGGGATCTACATACTATACTCTTAGCAGCAAGTCTAGTTTTAAGTCTTAGTTGTACAGCTACTTCCCAGGAAGAAGTGTACACTTGGCTTCCAGGCTGGGTATGGCTACAGGACTGCCCCTTGTGACATCTTCCATTCAGTTCATGAGACAGGATAAGAAATAAGTTCAATGCCATTGGACAACTGAAATGAAAACTCACTATAGTCCAGCCCTTTCTTCTCACTTCCTTTATCTTGGTTTCTCTTTTCTAACACTTGTCCTTTCAGGTTGAAGACTAAATTTTTTTTTAACTTCCTGGTTCTTTGCCATCAGGACAGAATTTTATTACATTCTATTTCCTCATAAAATTTCCCATTGTACTCTATCCCCTCCCCACTCAACCCAAAAAATATTTGCTAAGTATATTTATTGCTTAGTAGCATACATCCTGAAATGTAGGCTTTCTTGAGGACAAATTTCAAAGAAGTTCTATAGGCAAGGGGTTAAATGTTTCTCCCTATAAAAAAAATCTTCCATTAGAAATGATCTGTCCATCTTGCTCTGATGGTGCCTCTCTAAAACTAACCTATTTGTAGTTGGACTTGGATATAAAGTCCAGCAAGAACTCCAAGAGTAACCCTGGTATTGGATGATCTCTGTATCTCAGGGATATACACACAAAGGAGACATGTCCTATACTTGTCTACTTGACAGTTAAAGAAAATGCTTTAATCTTGGTATCTACACCAGCAGTCACCAATGAGTATCAGGCATTACAAGGAAAACATCAAGGATAAACTAGCTTAATGTGAGTCACCATCCTCTGCACCTGTGCTGTTATGCCCGATCCTGCATCTCTATGCATTTCCCTGAGAAGACTGCTCAAGGAGAAACCCAAACTTAGGTGATAAGCTGCCAAGTGTGTCTCCTTATTCCTGTTTTGATCCGTGTTCCTGTTTTGATCTTTGTTCCTGTTTTTATTCCTGTTCCTGTTTGTGTTCCTGTTTTGTGGGGAGTATAAAAGGGGTCTACACAGTTGAAAATATAGCATTTGGTTCTTTACCAGATGACTCTCTGTCTTTCTTTCTCTCGCCCTCAGCCCTCCGCCAATCCAAGGAACTCAGTTAGCTATGCTGTCGTAGCTGACAAGTGGAGGTTCCCACCGAGATCGGAAAGAAGAGGAAGATTGCTGTCGGGCCGTCTCCGGGGTGCACATTAAGACAGGAGACGTATTGGGCACGGACCGAAAGTAAATTTTCGGTAAGTAAACGCCATGGGTTTGGCACACAGTAAGGAGTTGCTAGCTAAGCAACTATCTACTCTCCTGGCTCAGCGGGGAACTGCTGTTAAAGCTAGGGTTATTGAAGAATTTATGAAAGAAGTACAAAAATTCTCTCCATGGTTTGTGGCAAATGGCACTTTTAAGCTGGAAGACTGGGAAAAGGTAATAGGTGATTTTTGTGCTGCTGCTGATCGCCATGGTCCTTTAGTCTTTAAGAAATCAGTTTGGGGCGTTTTGAAACTGGCTAGGGATGCCCTTGTTAGGGAAAGCGAATTGGTTGAGGAACAAATTGAGGAGGCTAAGAAAACTCTTGGAGAAGTTTAGGAGGAATTGGCTAGGGAGTCCCTATGTGGATCTTCTTCCTCCTCTTCATCTACATCGGGGGATTCTTCTGAGGAGAAGGAGGAGGAACTTTTGGAGGCCGATGGAGGAAAGGAAGTGGGCTCGAGGAGAAAAGAGAGGGAGAGGCTGCAATCCCAGGAAAAACAAGGTAAACAGACCAAGATGTTAAGATTCAAATCCTTAAGAGGTTGCACATCTCCTGCGGAGCCCTGCTCCCCTTCGGCTCCACCTGCGTATGAGGATTCTTGGGAGGAATGGTGGCAAGGTGAGATGGAACTGAAGGCCGAGGAGGCCCCTGTTACTAAAGGGATGATTTTTCAGAAACAAAGAAGGGAGTGTCCTCGTGCCTATCCTGTTGTTGAGGTGCCTAATCCTGCTAATCCTGGGCAATTTATTCGGCAGCACCAACCCTTGACATTTAAGGAATTAAAGCAACTGAAGGAGGCTGTAGCATCTTATGGCCCTTTGGCCCCCTTTACCAAGGCTTTGATAGATTCTTATACTGCTATGAATTTAACTCCTAGTGATTGGCAACAGTTGTGTCGTGCCGTTCTTTCAGGGGGGAATTATTTGCTCTGGAGGAGTGAATATCAGGAGCAATGTATTAGAACTGCACGACTCAATGCCCAAGCTGGCAACCCCCAGGTAAACCTAGAAATGTTAACCGGTACTGGGGCCTATGAAGCTCTGCATAACCAAATTCAATACAATCCTGGAGTGTATGCTCAGGTTGCCACTGCAGCTGTGAGAGCATGGGGCAGTCTTCCCAATTTAGCTGCAGGGGAACAATTAACCAAAGTCCTTCAAGGACCTTCCGAGCCTTATTCAGATTTTGTGGCTCCACTGATGGCATTAGCTGGAAAAATTTTGGGGGATGTGGATTCTGCTATGCCAGTGATTAAACAATTGGCTTTTGAAAATGCCAATAAATACTGCCAAGAAGCTATAAGGCCCCTTAAGTCCAAAAGTCTTAATGAATATTTGAAAATTTGCAAAGAGATCGATGGGAATTTTGTGCAGGCCCAGGTGCTGGCTGCTGCCTTAAATAAAGGATTAAGGAGATCTCCTTCAGACAAAAAATGCTTCAGTTGTGGGCAAGCCAGACATTTTAAAAGAGAATGTCCTAGTATGATATATTATTAGCCGCCCAAGGGAAGAAAGAACTATTGATGGCTTATGCCAAGTTACAGGGAGATCTGAAGAAAGCTGGGTTGGTTATTGCCCCTGAGAAGGTTCAAATAGGATATCCTTATCAATATTTAGGTTATAAAATTTTAAAAGAAGGGGTTCGTCCTCAGAAGGTTCAAATTAGGGTAGATCAATTAAAAACATTGAATGATTATCAAAAACTATTAGGAAATTTAAATTGGGTGCGACCTTCAGTTGGAGTGTCTTCAGGGGAACTTAAGCCTTTGTTTGAATATTTTGCAAGGGGATGCCGACCCTACCTCTGAGAGGGTCCTTAGTAAGGAAGCCAGAGCTGCTTTACCAACCTTTCAAGAAGCCTTATCCTCTACTATGTTACAACGTATAGATTATCATCAAGATTTGTGGCTGCTGGTTTTCCCATCTCAATTTGCTCCCACTGCATTATTATGGCAGGGGGCCCCTCTTTATTGGATTCATTCACCAGCTTCTCCTCTCAGGATTGTTTCAGGTTATCCTACCTTGATTTTACAATTACTGTTGAAGGCAGAGGGGGTATCCAAACAGTATTTTGGCCTTAGAATTAGAAAAATTATTCTTCCCTATACCAAGGAGCAATTAAGTTATCTAATTAGTGATGATGAAGGCTGGGGAATGTTTGCTTGCTATACCTCGGCACAGTTTGATAATCATTATCCTCTGGATAAAAGGGTCCAATTTTTTAAAATGCACCCTGTTTGTTTTCCTAAGATAGTATGTAGGGACCCAATTCCTAATGCCAGAGTAGTTTTCACTGATGGATCTTCTTCGGGAATGGCTGTGGTCGTTTCTGATAAAATAGTAGAAAAGGTTTTTATTTCCAGGGCCTCTGCTCAACAGATAGAATTAGAAGCCCTTTGTTTAGCTTTGAATTTGTTTACTGAACCCTTAAATATCTTTACTGATAGTATTTATGTGGCGAATATCATAAAAAATTTAGAAACTGCTCCTTTTATCGATCCCCATTCTACTGTAGCCTTTGTTTTGAATAAAGCACAGAGGCTTTTATGGCAGAGGAATAATCCCATGTATGTTGGACATATATGAAGTCATACAGGCCTCCCAGGTCCCCTTAGTGAGGGGAATTCCTTGGCAGATCAGCACATGAGATGCATGCTTGTTGCTGAAGATTCTTCCCTTTCTGCTGTATCTCATGCTCAGCAATTGCACGACAAATTTCATCTTAATGCCCAGAGCCTAAAGTTTCATACTGGCTGTTCCAGAGAGCAGGCTCTGAGGATTAGTTCCTCGTGTTCAGCATGTGCCCCATTTATTCATGTTCCAAACTTGGGTGCTAATCCTCGTGGTCTCATGCCCAATGATGTTTGGCAAATGGATGTTACCCATGTAAATAGTTTTGGTAAGTTATCCTTTGTTCATGTGTCGGTAGATACCTTTAGTGGCCTGATCTTTGCTTCGGCTCATAGTGGAGAAAAGGCTAAGGATGTTAAGGTGCACTGTTTAGTGGCCTTTGCCTATGCAGGAGTTCCTAGAACTATTAAGACAGACAATGGCCCAGCATATATTAGTTCCTCAGTTCAGACATTTTTTAAAGATTATGAGATTAGCCATAAAACTGGAATTCCATATAATCTCCAGGGACAAGCTATAGTAGAGTGCTGTCATAGCACTATAAAAAATTACTTAGAAAAAATAAAAAGGAATGAATATGGCATCGTACCACATAATAAATTATCTATTATACTTTATATTTTAAATTTTCTTTTGGTGGATGGTGATGGCAGATCTGCAGCCGAGCACCATTGGAGACCAAATAAGGCTGTAAAGGAAGCGTTGGTTCGGTGGAAAGATTTAACATCTGGGGTTTGGAAGGGCCCTGATCCAGTGTTATTAAGGATTAGAGGATCAGTCTGTGTCTTTCCAAAAAATGCAGATGGGCCTCTTTGGATTCCCGAGCGTTGTGTTCGCCCTGTGGATGAGCCCGGTAAAGGGAATGGAACAATGGAGCCTGGTCCAAAATCCACCGATATTGATAAGTGTGAGCCTTGATGCCACCATGCCTGTCTTGATATGACCCCTTTCCTTTTGTTTTGTTTAATCAGACCAGTGAGGGGGGCAACTAAATTGTTCTGCTGAGTCTTGTTTTTTGGCAAATTGTTGGAGTGGACTTATGGTGATACCAGTGGAATCTGACGAGGCTGAAGTTATCGTCTAGAAGCGACAGAAAAGAGATTTTGGAATTACTGCCAGGATCATTGCCACCATTGCCATTGCTGCAGGGACCGCCGTGGGCACAGGCATCGCCTTATCCAGCAGCATACAAACTGCCCAGACATTGAATGAACTTTTGGGGAGGGTACAGATACATTGGTTTCTCAGAGTGATATTCAGTCTCATTTTCATATTGCTGTTTTAGATTCAAATCAACAAATTGCTTTGGTTCAAGAACAAGTAGATTTTGTGTTATTCACCAGACATGTTGTTAGCTATGATCCCTTCCTTCATGCCATTTTGTGTTACACCTGTGCATGTAATTAATGCTTCCTTTTCTGTTAAGTATTTGAATCAGTTGATTTCTGGCTCTTGGAATGCTACTTATTATTATCTTACTCGGCAGCTCTTTAATAAGATTGTATTAGTTAATAATACCAGAGTTTATCCCATTGATGGGTCATCTATCTTGAGCATGTTTCTTCAAGTGGGAATGCTGGTGAAAGAGTGGGCTGGAGTTACTTCCTTGGCAGTTTTAGCCTAATTTTGCTGATGCTTGTTTTTGGGTGTCTGTGCCGCCTTTGGGCACAACAGGTACAATCTCAAGCTATTGTTCGAGGATTGGTGCTTTTACATGGTCGAGGGGATCCCTCTGCCCAAGTGTGGCTGACCATGCTACAAAAAGCATAATCATTCATCTAGGCCCGAGCTGCAGCCGGGACTGCAAGGGAGTTTTCCCTGAGAGACATGCCTGGCTGCATAGGAGTTGGTGTTGATACAGTTCCCCTCCTCAGGAAAAAGACACCGGGATGGGTATGACCATACCACCTCACTGTACAACGGCAGGGGGCTGGAGGTCATTACAATATCCCCAATATTCACTGAGGGTCTGGTCTCTGTCTCCTCTAATTAAAAGAAAAAGGGTGAATTGTGAGTCACCATCCTCTGCACCTGTGCTGTTATGCCCGCTCCTCCATCTCTATGCATTTCCCTGAGAAGACTGCTCAAGGAGAAATCCAAACTTAGGTGATAAGCTGCCAAGTGTGTCTCCTTATTCCTGTTTTGATCCTTGTTCCTGTTTTGATCCTTGTTCCTGTTTTTATTCCTGTTCCTGTTTGTGTTCCTGTTTTGTGGGGAGTATAAAAGGGGTCTACACAGTTGAAAATATAGCATTTGGTTCTTTACCAGATGACTCTCTGTCTTTCTTTCTCTCGCCCTCAGCCCTCTGCCGATCCAAGGAACTCAGTTAGCTATGCTGGCGTAGCTGACAGCTTAAGATGATTATTAAATCAAAGAATATTTAAGATTATTAAATAAGTCAATGAAATTGGACAGTTGTCTCAAAATTCATAATAAAATCTTAATATATTTGATATTAAGTTGTAAAACTGAACAAAAATTTCTAAACTATTCACAAGAAAAATATTTTTAATCAACCATGTTTTCCCCTTCCTAAATTTTGTGTTCTTTTAATTTTTTCAGCTATTTACAACTTGTAACTTGTGGTGATTCCTTTTCTCATTGTAAATATCCTCTTTTGTATTTTGTATCTTAACTTTGAAAAGCTTGCAGGAAGCTTTCTAGATTGTGTCAGACTTCACAAAGCCCAGAGTTTCCCCTATTATCTCATTAGAAACTATGAATCAAGCCTAGCAGTGGTGGCGCACACGTTTGATCCCAGTAAGGAGACTGAGGCGAGGCGGTAGATCTCTGAGATCCAGACCAGCCTGGTGTACAGAGTGAGTTCCAGGGCAGCTAAGGCTACTGAGGGAAAAACTCTCTCAAGGAAGGAAAGAAAGGTGTGTGTGGGTGGGGGGGGGGGAGGGAATGACAGGACACTGACAGGGACACCAGCATCCATTTCCCTGTGCATCCCGAGTGTGGATGCTTCAAGCTGCCTCAAGCATCATGATAGGTACACAGTACAACAGTGAGCCAAAATAAATCCTTCCTTCCTTAAGCTGTTTTTGCTAACTCTTTGTCATAGAAATAAGAAACATAATTCAGGTAGTTTGTGCATGTTTTTGTGATAGCTTCTTCCAGTGAATAAACAACACAAAGTTGTTTGTAACAACCTTTAAAAAGAAACAACAACAACAACAAAAACCCAAAAAACAAAAAAAAAACCCACAAGGCAAAACACATGTATCAAGATGAAATATTTTTCACCTTGATTTTATTTCTTCTTTTTTTCTGTTTGTTCAGGGCTATGGACAGACAGGGTCCATAGCCCTAGCTGTCCTGGAGTTTACTATGTAGACCAGACTAGTTTCAAACTTACAGACCTCCATCAATCTCTGCCTCTTGAGTGCTGGGATTAAAAGTTTGGGCCATCATGAGCAGCTCGCCTTGGTTTTCAAGCTGGTAATGTGAAAGATCAGTGCCCCAAGCCTGTGCAGAAAACTGCATAGCTCTGCAGGATGCCCAAAAAGGGTCCACAGGCAAGGAACGAAAACAGAAGAATCACAAGATAGCAGGCCAGACCACCAAAGATAGGAACCCATGGAAAAGCACAGGTGACAAATAGCTATTTCACTAAAAAGTCGCTTTTCAAACTGTTGCCACTCTATAGCAGGTGTTAATGGTATAAACACCATACCACTGTTAATAATAAGTATCTTCTTCCTTTAAGAAGGAGCACTTCCAGTTGTGCTCTCTATGTTAGATTTATCTGTATTTGCCTATCATGCAGTTAGCACCAGAGACTAGATAGCTCTAGGCATTCAAGATTCGAAAGTTGAAACCTGAAAAGGCTGGCTGAATCCCAGAGCTGACTCACCCCACCCCCAACAGGAAGCATTAGTTAATATTTGTCCAGTGTGTCTACGGTCTTCATTCAAAGTGTCAGGAGACTCTTTTGCTTTAGATTATGGGGATCTTTGGATGTTCTGCTTAAAATTCGAAAGGATTGATTTTGTGTTCTTTGTGCAAATGAGCACAGTGTAAAATAATTAGATCGTTTTGTTTTTCTTGTAAGCAAAACATAATTCTGTATAGCTCTAAGAAGTACAGAGTTCTTTAGTCTAAGAGGGAGTATCATATTGTTACACAGATTATACCTATTCCTGACCCTAGCGTGGTTTAGTAACTCCAGCTCCTCACAGGGTTGTATGTAGCTCAGTTACTTGTCTGGAATATTCTTAATTTTCCATGTCTTCCCTGTTGAAAATATAAGCCTAAGTTTATTGTACACAACATGACTCTTTTAATCATTTTCACATCAACACATGATATTCTATAGGACCATTGTTTTGATCTTTCCACTGGCTTTGTCATTCAGGAAATGAGAAAGACTGGGGCTGAAGAAATGGCTTAGCATTAGAACACTTGGTACGCTTACTGAGGACTCAGATTCACTTCCTAGTACCCACGTGGCAGCAACTATTGTAGCGATTGATTCCAGGGGATCCAATGTCCTCTTCCGACATAGGCACCAGGCATTCACACAGAGCACATACAGGCAAAATACACGCATAAAATAAACATAAACTTTTTCACAAAAAAAAGGAGCACTATTGAAATTCACAGCATAAACAAAATTATAAGGGATTTTATATTTTACAATCTAGTTTCTTAATAGAATTGTTTGGAAAAATTTTTAAAGATCTGTTAAGATTTTGAACTCCAAAATTGTTCTCAGTAATTGAAACAGCTTCTTTAAAGCTTTTGTAAATAACACAGCAATGACATGAATGCTCCATTTTCTACAGAACTTTCTAGAATTAAGACTGGCAGTACTAAGAATTCAACTAACAGAGATGCTTCCCAGATAATTCCATGGCAGGCTACTGAAGTATGAGTTCTATTTCTAGGACATTATTTATTAACCACATTTGTATGTTTGAGAGTGTGGTCATAGAGTGATTATCCTATTAAAGACATCCCGCAATTCAGAACTTTTTGCTGATTCAAATAAGCCCATTTTTCCTTTCAATTGACACTAGTAGGATTTGGGTATACGCTTATTTTTGTATTGTAAACATTGCATGTTTTATTGCAAAAACTGACATTCTTTCTTGGCTCTTAAGTGTCTTTTGTCCCTTACTCTTTGAAAGATTTCAGGCCAAGCAGTGGTAGTAGTGGTGGTAGTGGTGCATGCCTTTAATCCCAGCACTCAGGAGGCAGAGGCAGACACATCTCAGTGACCTTGAGGCCAGCTTGGTCTACAGATCAAGTTCCAGGAGAGCCAGGGAACAGAGAAACCCAGTCTTTAAAAAAATATATTTTTGGGAAAACAGGAGTGGCTACTTGTCAGCTGTCTAGCATAAACGGTCTCCTTTGCACTTTTCAGTTCATTCCAGGACCTCTTGCTTTTTTTGAGGGGTGAGTGGGGTACAACAGCAGACATGGCAGCTCTGCCCTTGCTGCCAGCCCATCTGGTTGTTTACAGGAGGTGCTGCTGTAGGAGGCTAGCTACTCACTCTCAGTTGGCTTAAGCGCTCAGCCAGCCTTTCCTCGGTCAAGTCCTTCAACAAACATAGAAGTGCATATTGAAAGAGTGACATATGACAGCTTTTAAACATGTGCTACAAATGGCAATGCAACAAGCAGTGTTCTGGAAAAGGGCTTTCCATTATAACATCCGGACACCAGAAGCTCAAAGCAAACAAAACTCTCCTATGCATCACACACAAACAATTTAACAGAATATGATGACCTTACAAAAATGTCTGGCCAGTAGAGGAGAAACTGTATTGTATTCTACCACCAAAATCAACAGCTACTGTCACCTTAACGTATTTCCTTTCAGATTTATTTGAATGAGCAATTTTTCTAAAAGTCAATTCTTAAAATAAGATAACAAAATTAAAAACATTTGAAGTTCTTGTTTGCTTTGTTTTTGAGATAAGGCCGAATGTAACCAAGGCTGATGTCAAATTTGCTATGGAGCAGAGGCTGACCTTGGATCACTAACTACTCCTGCCTTCACCTCTTAAACCCTGACATTACAGGCATGCCTTGCCACAGCTGGGTTAAGTTGGGAAAAATTGAAAGACAAA